ATAAAATAAGTGGAAGAAAGTGCACCAAAGCTCAGATTTTTCAATAAAAGCTTTTCAATGCTCTTATCTAAAGTATTAAGTTCTTTTCAAAAATAACAGGTTTATGGTGCTCCCTACATGTTTGGTCCACCTGTTGGGCAACTCAGTACTGAATCAGTTAGATGATGTGGCATGAGGACAGACAGGTCAAGGACTGGGGAGGACAAAGCCCTGTTGGGTACATGCCAACCAGGAAGAGAAGGAGGTCGGGGAAAGACATGACTGTGTGGCTCCATCTCCCAGACTTGGGGTACTTTGATCCCCACATGGTGTGTCCATGACCCCCACCTCAGTTGGCTTCCTGCTCATCACCCCCCATCAGCGTCAGGGCCATCACTCGCCCGCACACACCTGTCATTGACGAAGGAGAACATGAGCAGCCTCTGCTCGATGAACCACTTCCACTCGGGGTTCTCATTCTGCAGGTCTCGGTAGTTGTCGTTGGAGACGATGACTCCGTCCTGCTCGTAGGCCACCTTCACGATGTAGCGGTCATCGTAGCAAACCACCCGCCTGCCGCTCACCCTGCGGGACGGGGTGTACACCAGCACCGCCTGCCGCTCCAGCTCCTCCAGCACGTGCCGCTCTGGGGGCCACAGGGCAGACAGGGCTGCACACACTGCCTTCTCGGAGAACGGCCCCCCAGGACCACCCAAGGTCAGGGAGCACAGTTCCTGGCCAACAGCCCAGAGATCCTGCATGCCGTCCCCTCCCCACTCCCCACGGTCAGATGAGGGGCAGGGAGGGTTTTCTCCCCAGCATGAGGATCTCTTCTTTCATTGTATGGAATTCACCAGCAGCCATGGTCAAGAGGGCTCTTAGCGTTTGTCCTGCCTATGTCATGACAAGGAGACTCTGGGTGGGACGTTGCAGAAAGGTTGGAGGTTAGAGTCCACCCAGAGGTGTGTGGGAAGAAAGGCCTACAGATCAATGTCCAAGAAACCCCTCACTGAAAACCCTGTGGAGCACAAATCTTCTCTGAGACACGTGGAGTCACCATGAGCCTCAAGTGACTCCATGGCAACTGGTTATGTCATGATAGGAGGCCAGAGTATGAGTCCCAAAAGGGGAGAGTAACTGCACAGAGAAGACTGAAACCATAGCTCTTGTCCTTTTGGTGGTTACCTGCCATGATGCCCCTTCAGAGAACTAGAAGCCCACCAGAGTGGACACCAGAAGCCTTCTCCAGGAGAAAGACATTCCTATTTTTCCTGGAATCCAGCAAAGCCACAGAAATTATTAGGAACCTCACAACCACTTGGAAGGCTCCTGAAGGGAGCCCTTGGCTGAGAGTCACTGGTCTGTCTCCCCTCAAGTACAAGAGACACATTCAGGAGTGAAGCATCTGTAACTGACATTTCTAACAAACAGAAAAATGTAATAGGAAGAGCCAGGGATTAAGAGTCTAACAACCTGAATTGGTCTCTATTCACTTGGAGCAAAAGAATAAGGACAGTCAGGAATAGGAGGAAGAAATAGAATGTGTGGCTAATTGCTTCCATGAACAACTGCCGCCTATGCCATGAGACCAGAAGAACTGGATGGTGCCCACCTACCATTGATGAACATTTTGATTAAAGAGCCTATATAAGAATCCTGATCAAAAGGGGGAAAATGCAGAACAGAATTTCAAATTCTCACTGACTCCAGACCTTCTGGAGCTATGGAGGGTGGATGAACTCCTGAAACTTTTGCCTTGATACAATGTTTAAACCCTAAACCAGAAATGCCCCTGAAGTCTTTTGAGCATCAAACAGTCATTCAGCTGAATTAGTAAAGAATTCCTGCCCTGAGCGTTGAGCTCTTCTGAGGTCTCTCTACATGTGATCAAATTGACAACAGCAACTGGACAGATTAGATAGGAAACTTGAGGGGCAGAGAGTTTATGTTAATGGGGAAGGAACAGCTTGGAACACTGGTTGTATAATTGGAAGAATGTAATCACTGTCACTGAATTATACATGTGGAAATTGTTGAACTGGTGTCAGTTCCATTGTGTATATTCACAACGACAAGCAAAATGAATTTGAAAAAACAAAAAACACTCTAACGGCCAAACTCTGGTCTTAGCCCCATGTCTTGGGTATCTTGCCTCTCTTTTAACCTCAGGTTTTACATTATAACATGAGGGTAAGAGTACCTCCTTTACACACATTGACTTTGGTCATGCATGTGAGAGCGCTTATGAAAACTAGAAAGATGGTGAACACATATCAGATGGTACAGATTTCACAAGCTCCTTCTTATCAGGAGCTGAAATCACACGACTGGAAGGTCTGCGTTGATTTCACTCTTGTCTTGGCAGATATGGAAAGAAAATCCCTCTACACATAAATTACTCAGACCTCAGAACAGTATTAGCATGATTCTTCATAAGGGAGCCCTGGTGGCGTAATGCCTAAGGCATTTGACTGCTAACCAGAAGGCTGGCGTTTCAAACCCAACAGCCACTCCTCGGAAGGAAGGCTGGGCAATCTACTTCCATAGTGATACCACCTCGGAAACCCAAGGAGGGGTCACTATGAGTCGGATCCAACCTGACGGCAGTGAGTGAATTAATTTTAATTTTTCATAAATTGCTTCTTCCATCGAGTCTAAGTCCTTTCCTATATGACATGGTTTCCAGACTTTGAAAAGTGCATAGTACATGTAAGTTACAAAGAGTAATAAAAAGAACACTGTGTCCTACCACTCCCTTTGAGAAGCAGAGCGTGGCCCATGCTTCATGGGAAGTGAAGTCCCATTGCCCCTTCCAGTTGGTATTATTTTATATTCCCCTAAAGATAACTAGTTTCTAAAACTGTGTTTATAATTCCCTTGCTTTTATTTTTAAAAACACATTATATATGAGTTGAATTCATAAATATAAATATTTTTACCACAATTTTAAAAATAAAACCTTGAAAAAGCAAAAACAAAAATCCACGTAAGAATGTACCTCAAAAAGAACCGTTTTCAACGTAGACTTTACATAAATGGAATTATGCTGGATATGTATGTAACTTAGGAGCTCTGGTAGCATAGTGCCTAAGGCACTTGACTGCTAACCAGAAGGCTGGTGGTTCAAACCCACCAGCCACTCCTCGGAAGGAAGATGGGGCAATCTACTTCCATAGTGATACTACCTTGGAAACCCAAGGAAAAGTTGCTATGAGTTGGGTCCAACTCAACGGCACATAACAACAACAAAAACAACTACATGTATGTAACTTGGTTTTTCCATTGAACAGTGCATAATGTTCACTGGTAGTTTTCCATGCGAGTCTCCTGGTGTGAGAGTTTCTTTGGAGTATATCTATCTCTCAGAGTGGAAATTGCTCAGCTGTAGGGAAGGGTACTTTACAAACCCACTGCCATGGACTCAATTTCGACCCATAACAACCTTATAGGACTGAGTAGAACTGCCCCATACGGATTCTAAGGCTGTAAATCTTTCGGAAGCAGACTGCCGCATCTTTCTCCCTTCAAGCAGCTGCTGGAGTCAAACTGGTGACCTCTTGTTTAGCAGCCAAATGCTTTAACCACCATGCCACCAGAGCTCCTTGGCACTTTACAAGATACTGTCAAATTGTTTTCCAAAAAGGTTGTACCCATTGACATACCCAACACAGCATATAGGACAACAGGGTCAGAATCAACTCAATGGCAATGGGTTTGGATTTTTGGGTTTTGGCAACACGTGGTATTTTCAGAGTTTTGAACTTTTGCCAACCTGGTGGATGTAAAATGGTCTCGTACTGGGGATTTATTTTCATTTCTCTGGTTACAGATGGGATTTGAGCCTCTTTTCACATGTTTATTGGCCATTCTTATTACTTCTTCTGTGAAAGGCCTATTAATGCCTTAGCCTATCTTTCTATTGGTCCTTTCTCTTTGTCTTATTAACTTGGAGGTGTTCTTTACAGATTCTGAATAGTAACCCATTGTCAGTGATACATGATCTCTCCCTATCTGAGGCTTGTCTGTACATATATTTATTTATTTATTTGATGTATTTTATTGAAATATAATTTATGTACAGTGAAATACAAAAAAACTAAAGTGACAGGGGTCAATGCATTTTTTTTTCTTTTTTCTTTTTTTTTTGCTGTGTTCCCTCCCCTCCCCTACCACCCCTGGCAACCAACAAAGAAAATTTCCCTCCATACATAAACCTTTCCTTGACCCTCCACAACAAAAACTAATACTATATTTGTCCTTCTGTGATTGACTTATTTCACTCAGCATAATGTCCTCCAAGTTCATCCATATTATACGGTGCTTTGCAGACTACATTATTCTTTAGTGCTGCATAGTATTCCAGTATGTGTATATACCATAGTTTGGTCATCCACTCTTCCGCTGATGGGCACGTAGCTTGTTTCCATCTTTTTGCTATTGTAAATCATGCTGTGATGAACGTAACTGTGCCTATATCTGTTCTTGTCCTAGCTCTCACCTCTCTAGGATATATACCTGGTAATGGGATTGCTGGGTCAAATGGTATCTCCAATTCCAGCTTTCTAAGGAATCACCATATTGCTTTCCACAGTGGTTGTATCACTTCACAGTCCCACCAGCAGCGTATGAGAGTCCCAATCTCTCCACATCCCCACCAGCATTTGTTATTTTCTGTCTTGTTGAACTTTGCCATCAGTGCTGGGGTGAGATGGTATCTCGTTGTTTTGATTTGCATCTCTCTGATGGCCAATGATGTGAGCATCTCTTCATGTATCAGCTGGCCACCTGAATATCCTCCTTGATGAAATGTCTATTCATGTCTTCTGCCCATTTTTCAATTGGATTGTTAATTCCTTTGGTGTTGAGGTATTGGAGTTTTCTATAAATCTTAGAGATAAGTCCCTTGCCAGATATGTAATTATCGGCAAATATGAATTTGTTGTTGTCATTTTTATTATGTGCTTTTTCAAGGTGTTGATTTCTTTGTTCCATGTAATTTTCTATGCTGAGCTCATTTTGTTTATGAATCATGTTATCACTTCCTTCATTGCTAATTTTAGTATTTGCTGAATATTTGTGCTGGTCCTCTTTTATATTTTGATGTGAAGGTTTATCATTTTTCTTTGAGGTTACCCTGTGTTTTATAGTTTTCTTCCCAAGTTTACAACAGTCTGTTTCATCTTATAGTTGTCTTGACTTCCCTACCATCTAGAAGTTCTGTAATGGCACAGTTTTTTCCCTCTTTTTGGTTTGTAGTTGTCCTCATTTGTCAATTAATGTCTCTGGTTCCCTGTTTACAATCTTGTAGGTTTATTTACTTTGGATACTTCCATAGCTGGGTTGGTTTCCGGGTTATATCATCATGTGTGTTAATGGTCAGTTGTTGGCTATTGTTGCTTCTCTGTCCAAAGGGCTTCCTTTAACATCTCTTGTAAGGTTGGTCTATGTGGTGGTTATGTTGTGTGACAATTTGGCTGAGCCTGGTTAAGTGGCTGGGCAGCTGGTGGTAGTTATTCCCCATGATGAGACTGGCAATCAACTCCATGGTGGGATCTACCACAAGCAGCTGAGTAGCTGCCTTTGCGATGTGCTCTGCTTCCTGCATATAAGGAGAAGCCTTAGGAATGGTGTCTAGCCTATGGCACGCTTGGACCCTGCATGTAACTGTGTCTTTGCTCAGCAGCCTGCTACCCTGCCGATATTGGGACTTACAATGGACTTAAGTTAATGGCCTGCCATGTGGTTTGGAAACATTGGGACTGTGCTATTTTATTTGTCAATCTTGGGCTTCTCAGTCTCAGCAGCCTGCAGCTGTCTGAGTGAAGAAACACCTCTAGCTTCAGTGGGCTGGGAGCTGGAGGCAGAGCTGAAGCCCAAGGTCGAGGGGTTTTCACCCAGCCCCTAGAGCCTGGCACTTTGAACTTGGACTTAAAGCCTCCAAACTGTAAGAGAATAAACTCCTGTTGCTCAAGCCATCCCATTTGTGGTATATTCCTGTCAAAGTGGCACCAGGTAACCACAACAGTCTGGTTTTAACAAATTCCCTTAATTTCTGCTTATCTGGAAATGTCCTAATTTCACCATTATATTTGAGGGACATTTTTGCTGGGTACATAATTCTTGGTTGGAAATTTTCTCTGTCAGTGTTTTTATACATACCATCCCATTGTCTTCTCGCCGGCATGGTTTCTGCCGAGAAATCCGAGTTTAGTCTTATTGGTTGGTTGCACCTTGTAGGTAACTTTTCATTTTTCCCATGCTCCTCACATGATTCTTTCTTTGTGTTTGGTTTTGGTGAGTTTGATGATGATATATCTTGGTGATTTTCTTTTGGGGTCTATCCTGTTTGGTGTTCGTTGGACTTCTTGAATGGATATATTCTCATCTTTCATCATACCAGGAAAATTCTCTTCCAAAAAATCTTTGACAATTTTCTCTGTGGTTTTATTTTTCTCTTCCTGTTCTGGAATTCCCATTACACGTAGGTTATTCCTTTTGATGGTATCTCACCTGAACCTTAGGCTTTCTTCATTTTGTTTTGATCTTTTTTTCTGATTGATCTCTTTCCAAAGAAGTGTTCAGGTATTTGCCTTTAATCTCACTAATTCTGTCTTCCGTTGATTCAGTTCTGCTCTTTTGCCCATTCAATGTCTTATCTATTTCTGAAAATTTAGTATTAATCTTCTCGATTTCTGTGTGTAGATTTTGTATCATTTCTCATTTTTCATTTATTTTGTCATTTTGTTCTTGCATTGTCTTTTGAAATTGCTGTAGGGTTTTCTCTGTGTTTTCCTCAACTTTGTCGTGTTTTCCTTGATCTGTCTCTCAATTCATTGAAGATACCTAAATATAATTCCTTTGAATTCCTTATCCGGGAGTTCCAACACTGAGTCTTCTTCAGGGATGTGTTTTGGGCTGTAATCCTGGTCCCTTGTTTCTCCTGCTTTATCTTTATCTTTATTTTTATCACAGATAAAGATATCTTTATCTCTGTGATACTCTGTTGTCTGTGAGGCATTGTGGCTTTTTGCATTTATATTTAATTGGTGATTGTATGTTGATGAAAATCATGACTTGCCCATAATTTTCATTTTCTTTGTTTTGTCTGTATGTTATCTACACAAGCAGGGTATTGTGCTGTGCTACTCTATTCACTAGTTGGCAGCACTTATACACTCACCACCAGTCTCCTTTTCTGTTGTCAGCCTCTTGTATGTCCCTGCCGACCTTGGCAAACAGAGCCTATTCTTAGGTCCCTGGAATCTGAATGAGAATGCTATCACTTTAAAATCCAAAATGGTTGCCACGTGTAAAGATTCCCATATTTTTATTTTTATGGTATCCATTAATGAATAGAAGCTTTTATTTTCATGTAGTCAAATTCATTCATGTTTTCCTCCTAGGTTTGTGACTTGTTTAAAAATGTTTTCCTTACCCCCAAATGATTTCCTTCCTCTTTACCCAAAGTATATTTAAATATTGCCCAATGTTGAAAGCCACCATTCTCCATGTCAAGACCATAAAGAATTATTTGGGGGCACAACCAGTTCACAATGGAGAACTGAACACAAATATTTATCCCCCCTCCTTCTTAAAATCACACTGAAATGACAGAAAAGAAGTTCAAAATGGGAAAGAAGAACCCATAATCACATTATAAATGGGCTTGAGAACAGCAGCAAATCCAGGATTTTGACAAATTTTAGGAAACTAGAAAGTAGATGGGATCATCTTGGTAGATGCCTCAGTTTGAAGGGAGCCACAGCCCAGAATGTGCGTGAAAGGATAAAGTGAGATGGGAGCCATTTTCTCTGAAAAGTCCCAGAGGCCTGTGGAGAAGGAGTGGAGAGACAGGCAGAATCAGGTTTACTAATGGAAGGATTGCCTACAGGGCAGCTGCGTTCAGGGGTCTGGATCACCACTCTTCTTCTCCCCTTGGGCTAAAACCACCATAAAGAATATGAAGATATAACCAGGAAGAAGGAAGTCTCCTAGTGTGACTGTTGACTTCCTAGAGTAAAACGATCATCATATTGACCTTGGACTATGTGCAGGCAGAGGTGCTCAGCTGCCTGCCTGCTCCAAGCTAAAGTGAAAGCTGGCAGTCACCACAAATGGTCAGCCCTGCCATTCAGGGAAAGATCCACAAACTAGCAGAGGAAACCCACGCAGCCAAGTATATATGTAATCAATCTGATTCTTATTCACAAGTAAAAACTAACAACCAAGTACCACCAGACTTTTGAGAGGAAGATCCAATAACACATACACACACACACACACAAAAGAGGGGCTAAGAGAAACAAAGAGAACTGACCTCAGAAAAAATAGATGTAATTCATGGAACTTAAGAGAACTTTTTTTTTAAAGTCTATATTGTTGTTGTTAGCTGCCATGGACGTGGCCCCCAACTCAAGGAGACCCCATGCACAACAGGATCAAACTATTGTGATCCATAAGGTTTTTCCTGGCTGATTTTAGGAAGCAGATCACGGCCTTTCTTCCTACCCCGTCTTAGTCTGGAAGCTCCATTGAAACACGGTTAGCATCGCAGCAACACTCAAGCCTCCAGTGACAGACGGATGGTAGCTGCATTTGAGGAGCCTTGGTCAGGAATCAAACTCAGATCTCCTGCATGGAAGGCAAGAATTCTACCACTGAACCACCACAACCCTCTCAAATCTGTTTTAGTGGAAAAACAGTCAAGAGGATAATGCATCCATTAAAAAAAAAAAAAAAAAAAAAAGCATTCTATTTAAAAACTAAGAGAGAGAGACCAAGAGAAAAGCAGAAGCAAGTGGTAACCATTGCCCAAATAAAAACAAAACAGACAAACAAATCTTTGGTAAAAGGCTGGAAGTGAAAGTTAGGAAAACATCCCAGAATCACAGAGAGGCCAATCCTACCATCTAGGATGTGCTGAAATATTACAATGGTTTAGCATCTGACTTCTTAGACAGAAAACAAACAAAACACTGTTTAAACCTCAGTTTCCTATTATCTGTAGTTTAAAATAGTCTGATACAAGAATTAAAAATAAAGAATTCACTGGGTCTCAGTTTCTTTCTTCTTCTTCTTCTTTTTCAAAGTGAACACCTTGGACTAGATTTTCATTAAATAAATATTACCTGACTGGATGGATTGGGGGTGAAACTGTTAAGGATGGGACGCAGATCCAATCTTTCTGTAGAGTGCTAGAAGTCCTAAGACATGATTTTTAAAAAACTTAACAATAGAAGCTGGAGTAATTTGCTCTTTCATCTATTCAACAGCTACTCACTGACACTAGCTCCATGACAGACACTATGCTGAGTGCTAGGGCTACAGCAGTGAGCACTCATAGTCAGTGCCTTTGTGGTGAGGAAGACAGATGCCATTAAAAATAATAATAATTAAATAGATAATTGGTCTAATTATGATGAGTACTGCCCAGAAAAGGAATATAACCACTTGAGCATATCTCTGTTCCAGCATACCTCTAATGGGGGTATCAGATCTCGATGGTTCCTTCCTCCAGGATGGGACAAAAACCTTGATGGAAGTGTGTCCTCTGCCCCTGAACCAGTTCACAGCCAGCTGGATTCCCCGGCAAGAGAAGACTTCTTTATTTCCATGGCTACAAAGGGAAAACAAAGAAATCTGTTGGGACATAGAAAGGATTCCTAAAGAGTGAATTCCCCTGGAAATATTCTGTATCATAATTATATACTCGAGAGAGAGCCAAGTAAATGTGCATTTTAAAAATAGTTCATTCTATCTGTGGGCTCAGGACCATAGTTGCAGGGGACATCAAGCTCAACTGGCATAACATACTACACAAAACGTTGTTCTGCCTCCTACTTTGGCGAGTAGCGACTGGGATCTTAAAAGCTTGCAAGCTGCCATCTAGACACAATGATGGGTCTCTCCTCATCCAGAGCAAAGAAGAATGAAGAAAACCAAAACTTCATGGAAACAATTAGTCCGAGCAACTGGTACGCCATCCAATCTGCAGCCTATACGACTATAAGACCAGAAGAACTAGATGGTGCCTGGATACTACTGTCAACCACTTGGAAGGGGATCTATGTAGGAGATCCTGGATAGAAAGGGAGGACAATGTGGAGCAAAACTCAAAATCATTTGGAGAAAAAAAAAAAAGGTGGGACCAGATTTGCTGGTCCAATACAGCCTGGTGGAACCACTGAGACTATGGTCCCTAGCTGCCCTTCAGGTCTGAAATTGAACCCACACCTGTGGCTTCCAGCCAAACAATAGACAGGCATATGAGTTGAACATTTACCTTAGGTAGATACACTCCTTGGAGAGAACAATCATGGGAGAAAGAAGGGCTGCTTATGCACAGGGAGACAGCTCAGGGGGCAGGAGTACATGGAGGGATGGACATAGAGAAGAGGTAACTATCAGGAGGAAGTATGAGGAGAGATGTTGCATTGTGGTAAATTGTGGTCATTAGATAAAGTGTTGTGAACTGCTGTATGGAAAGTGAATTTGCTCTGTAAATTTTCACCCAAATCACAATAATAATAATAATAATAATAATAAAAGATCATTCTTTGCACAGCATATGTCCCTTTAACTAGAAACATGTAGCTTGTGGTAAATATGTAGAGGGGCTGGGGGTCTAAAGGGAGTGAATTCCAAGGATTAGTAACAAGATCGTCCCATTAACTAAAAGCTAATAAGGATCAAAAAAAGATCATCCAATAGAATATGGAAATTATCAAATATCATTAATATCACACACAAGTGAAATTTTGCTGAAGATAATTCAAAAATGGATGCTGCAGTATATTGACAGGGAACTTCCAGAAATGCAGGCTGGATTCAGAAGAGGATGTGGAATGAGGGTTATCATTGCTGATGTTAGATGGATCTTGGCTGAAAGCAAAGAATACCAGAAAGATGTTTACTTGTGTTTTATTAACTATGCAAAATTATTTAACTGTGTGGCTCATAACGGATTATGGATAACATTGAGAAGATGAGAATTCCAGAACACTTCATTGTGCTCATGATGAACCTGTACACAGAGCAAGAGGCAGTGTTCAGATAGAACAAGGGGGTACTGCATGGTTTAAAATCAGGAAAGGTGTGTGCCACTGTTATGTCCTTTCATCATACTTATTCAATCTGTATGCTGAGCAAATAATACGAGAAGCTGGACTATATGAAGTAGAACATGGCATCAGAATTGAAAGAAGACTTATTAACACCTGTGATATGCAGATGACACAATTTTGCTTGCTGAATGTAAAGATGACTTGAAGCACCTACTCATGAAAATCAAAGACTACAGCCTTCAGGATGGATTACACCTCAGCATAAAGAAAATAAAAATCCTCACAAGTGGACAAAAAGCAACTTCACGATAAATGGAGAAAAGATTGGAGTTGTCAGGGATCTCGTTTTACTTGGATCCACAATCAACACCCACAGAAGCATTAGTCAAGAAATCAGATGTCAGGGGACTTTGGTAAGATGGAGAAATAGGCAGACAAGTGGCACAGACCCTCTTCAACAAAGAAAAGAAAAACCAGTTGACACAGATAGAGAAGATAATCCTGGAGCCCTGAGCTTTGAAAGGAACTATACAGAAGTGGATTAGGCACCAACCAGTGGAAAAACCTGAACGAAAACAGTGAGTCCAGAGATGGTTGGAGCTGTGGACTGTCAGCTACTCTGATGGACCAACAGCATGAATATTTCCAAGTAATGTTGGGACCTGAGAATTGACCTAAAGATCAGACCTGGTCACCAAGGACTGCAGGGACAACTGCACTGGTGGCCCAAGACTAGGAAGGGAAGCAGCAAGGAGGGAGACAACCTGAGCTGTTGACTTTCCGCTGTCTGGAGAGTGCAGCCATTTTGATTGTTTACACGTGGCAGCCATTTTGGATATTTAAAGTGATTGGGAGTACAGCCATTTTGAATGTCTACAAGCAGTGGCCATTTTGGATATTTAAAGTGACCAAGGGCACAGCCATTTTGAATCTTTACAAATGGCAACCATTTTGAATTTTAAAGTGATAGCATTCTCATTCAGATCCCAGGGACCTACGAACAGACTCGGCTTGCCAGGGTCGGCAAGGACATATGAGAGGCTGACAACAGGAAAGGAGACAGGTGGTGAGTGTATAAGTGCTGCCAACTAGTGACTAGAGGAGCACAGCACAGTACCCTGCTTGCATAGATAACATACAAAGAAAACAAAAATCGTTGGCAACTCACTCCAACATACAATCACCAATCAAATATAAACACAAAAACGTCAAAATGCCTCAGAGACAACAGAGCATCACAGTCCACACAAAGAAGCAAGATAAAGCAGGAAAAACAAGGGACCAGGATACA